CCCTAGATTTTAGGGTTGTGTTGTGCATTATTATTAGATAAATAAATTTAAGCATTTGACAAATCGTGATTTTATTAAAAGAAAATTATAAATGGTCTTGAAAAACCAAACAAACGCTCGTGCGAAAGGTCTATTTTTGTTTGTTGTCGAAATTTATACATCGCGATGTTGATGGTAATTCAAGCAATGTATTCATTTGTGGATTTGATGTTACTTGAGAATTAGGCAACGTGCGACCTGCCAGGTTCTGTTATCAATATAATTAACACAAGCTTACCTTTCAATAAATAGAGTAAACAAATAGTCGCAAATATATCGAAGTATCTCAATGCACTTAACCACGGCCAAGACGTACACTCATTATACACCGACTTCAGCAAGGCGTTTGACATGGTGGATCACGAAATTCTCTTAAGTAAATTAAAAAGTTATGGTGTCCGGTCAAAAGCCTTATACTGGTTCCGCTCATATCTATCGGGTAGGCGAATGCAAGTTCGCGTCAACGGTCATCTGTCAAATGAGTATGGTATAACTTCCTATAACCTCAAGGATCTCACTTGGGCCCTATCCTTTTCAGTATATTCATAAACGACATTGGCACGAAACTCAAATCCGAGTTCTTATTATATGCGGATGATATGAAGCTATTCAGAGCAGTAGGCGGTAATCACGACATAGACATTATAGAGAGGGATATTTTAGAAATTGAAAATTGGTGCACAACAAATAAGCTGCATCTGAATATACAAAAATGTGCTGTCATGTGTTTCTCTCGACGTCTTAATAAAGTTAGCGCTAATTATTCCTTGTGTGGTCAAACTGTGAAAACAGTCAACTCAATTAAGGATCTGGGTGTGTTTGTGGATGATAGACTCTCCTTCTCAGAGCACATTAACCACATTTCTGCACGAGCATATCGTGCGCTTGGATTCATATGTAGAAGTGGGAAAGAGTTCAGGAACCATAGAACACTCCTCAGACTATTTTCTACCTTCGTGCAGCCGATACTTGAATATTGCTCCATTGTCTGGGCACCATTTACCGAGCTCCAAATAAACAACGTCGAAAAAGTGCAACGTAAGTTTTGTAAGTTCCTGCTGTATCACTCCCAAGACGGAAGCTGTGTAAATACGAGTGATATATACAACAGGTACAATATAAAGACCTTATACAGCAGAAGGCAAATAGCGGATCTATCCTTTTTTTATAAGGTCGTAAATGGGTTGATAGATTCCCCAGAAATACTGGAGCAGTTCAGGTTCATCGGCTCTAGAGCTGATCTTCGATCGAGACGACTGCTAGATGTTACGCAATCTAACCGGAACTATATCGCCTATGGACCGTACAACAGAATAGCAAGCTTAGTCAACCGACATGCACCAAGTGTTAATTTCTTTGGAGGTTCTCACGCTGGTCTCATTCGTGTTCTAAAATCAGTTCTTTGAGTTATACATATGTACTCATTCGACATCTATTTATAATTTTTGCAATTGATAATTATTGTTAACTATTTACGTTTTTAAATTGGTACAAAATTTTACTTTTTATTATGTGTAAAGCCGATTGGCGTTTAAATAAATAAATAAATAAATAAATAAAAATTTTGAAAATGTGGCTTTTGAGCCAATTAGTAAAGTGCAAGTCTGAAGTTACCAGAAAATTTCGTTGATTTTTTGCAATTATTTATTTTTTGCTGACAGTGTCTTCCACATACAAAAAAAATGTCGAACATAGTTTGTATGGAAGAAACTCTCATTAAAATGAATACCAAAAATCAACTAAAAATTAATGGGCTGCAAAACTTCATTTTAAACATTTTTATAAAAAGTCTGAATAGAAAGTTGCAAATTTGTATGCAAATTTAATGCATTTTCCCCGAGTTTTGCACAAAGTTTAGAAAATTTGTTTTTATGTTTTCAGATGTATTTAGTATAAACTGTATTTTTATAAGGAACAAAAAAGGTACATGCATTGTGAAAAATTCTCTGTGCTTTAGTTGTGATAAATTGTTTTGTTTTGCTAGTGTACGTTGTAATGATCTCATGTTTTTATGTTTTTGTTTCTGTTTGTCAAAATAAAATTTTACTACATCCTTTCGTACGTAATTTTTGTCGAAACGAAAGGGAAGGGAGCAAGAGGCCTCTCCCCCCCCTTAAGTGTCCCGGTTTGGCAACAGAGCTATCTGGCAGCCCTAATTTATAGTGAAATATGAGCATTGTGTGCATTTTTGTGAGTGTAGTAAGTGAATAAAAAAAGTGCTATTGTGGAAAAGTTTTTTGTTAATAACTTTTGATCGGGTTAATTTCCGCTTTAGTATTCTTGTTATTGGGGTCCAGACGCGTCTAATGGTACCCCCTTTCCAAAATTTTGACCAATTTTGGGGGTTGAAAGCCCACCTAGATAATTACCCAAAAAGCTACGTTAGTTTACAGTTATAAAATAAATCAAATTTATTTGCGACTATTTGTTTATCCTATTTATTGTTTTATTATTATCTCTCCATATCTAGGGGTAACACAAGACAATATTGTCAAGACAACTACTTATGTCAAAATGATGTGTTTGTTGTAAACACGGCGAATTCATATTACAACAAACACATCATTTTTATATAATTGTCTTGACAATATTGTCCGGTGTAAACCCTAAGTTGTAGTCCCACGAGAGAGGTAAAAATTATGGCGTTCGTAATTCACAACGAGAAGTGTCAAAATTTGTTTTTGATCTTTCCAAATTTTCTCTTATTTATCAGTTGGCAAAGGCCCTCAGTGGCAGAGCTCCAAGCATTGAGATAGTGGCTACGTTTCTTTATACATTCCAGATAATCCCATTTCACAGCCAGAACAGAACAGAATGCGTTTTAAATATGCGTTAACATATCATCAGGAACGTTCTAAAGAATAAGTAAACAAAAAAGTTTATTCCAAACGTGCAGAATGTATAAAGAAATGCAGACAGTAATTTCATGTCAATTAGAAGAAAAGTTCCATGGTGAAAAAACTTTTTATTATGGTGAGAAAATTTTACATTTCTGCTGTGCCAATCTTAGTGCTTGAAATTTTTGACTGTTGCTCTGGTGCAAAAGTTGAGAAAACTGCAGAAATTATACAAAAATTACTTGTCTTTACTGACTTTGATTCTTCTAGAACTAAAAGCCATGCGATTATTAGACGTCTTAGTAATAACATGTGTCCAAAAAAATAATTCAAAACCGTCAGGTAGGTGTAATTCTTGCCGTCGAATTTTTCACCAGCCCTGCCGGGCTGAAAATTTTCATTCACCTCATAATTGTCTATCAACTGGCACAGGCCCTTTGCACAAAAAGGGTTATGAAATGCGTCTTATTTAAATCGTTATTCGATAAATTCCATTTTGCACTATACGTTTTGAAACTATTTGGAGTTAATTATTTTTTGTTTCTCAAAAGCAATCCTGCGTGCATAGTAGGCGTGTGTACGAATAATTTTATCCCTGGCGTATTCATCCCCGAATAAGGCATTCGCCAAATTCATTTTTTCTGATGACGGTCAAAGGCCGCCAACGCGAAAGTGTGTTCTGCTCAAAAATGATGTGGATGGCGTGACCCAAGTTAGGGTTGCCAGATTTTGAAACGGAGAAAGGAGTACATTTATATTTTCGATAGAAAAAAGCAGTACAAGACGTAAAAAAGGAGTAAAATTTTTTTTTTAATTTTTTGTGCAATTTATTGTTACAAATTACCATTAATTAGGTACAAATAAGCAAAGATATTTTAGAAATCTTTTTCAAAGCAACAATAAATGTTAAAAATAAATAACTAAATGAGTTGGCTTTCCAACAAGGGCGGTCGTTAAAGAGATGATCAAAGGGGGAGTGGGCGTGGCACCCAATTGTGATATTTGGCGATTTTTCTAAGGCGTTCCTAGGGACCCATAGGGGGCCTAGGTGGTCGGGGGTACCACGCCCACTCCCCCTTCGCTCACCATCTCTTCTATGATCGCCCTTATAGAAAATTTTCCCTAACTAAATTCTACAACATAATTCCAAACTCTTTCTGAATATATGGCCAGTTTTTTAATTTAAGCCTTATAATTAATTTAATATTTTTCTGATTTTTATACCCGAGCGCTCTGCACCTACCTTGCTACGACCATGCCTATACCTTTTCACTATCACACTTAACTTTGCTTACTAAGTAGTGTTTGCCACAATATGAATGGCAAAGTACAGGGCGTAAGATAACTGTCGCACAGGTTTTTTGAAAAATAAAAGGGTCCTTTATAGATGTGCGATAGTTATTATTTTACACCCTGTATAAGATAAAATATTAATAGCTGGAAAAAGGAGACAAAAGAAGTACAAAACTACTAAAGGAGTACATTTCCATATATTTTTTTTGGGAGTACAATAGAGTACATTGCAATAAAAAGAAGTACGTGTACTCCCAAAAGCAGTACGTCTGGCAACCCTAACCCAAGTTATTATAAACCACATACCTTAGTATAAATAACCTAACATTTGCCAAAAAATATCCAGTACAACTTGCAAAATATGCTCATTTTCGCTTTAAATTTTCTATCTTCAGCTTATTTCTTGCAAATTTTGACTTACGAAAACGGCAGCCAGTAGGGTATTCCATCATTCCTGGCGCCAGCCAGTAAAGATACAGAAAAATAATTACGAAAACGCAGTTATAATTATTACATTTCCTTTGCCATATTACATACTATCGCTAATAATCGAAGCGGTATAAAACACGAGTCCTTACCACTTAAATCACTTTGTAAACATTGTCTTGCGCTTTAATACCAATCTAAGCACGTCAGTTAAAATTCACTAAAATAAAGCACATATTTGTCTGAAATTAATTTTATCACCTCACCCCATCCAAAACCACTACACATATATATGCACATTTAAAATGCTCGCACAAAAATAAACATATTTTTAAGAACATAGGAAAATTATTTTCAACTTGACTTTAAATAAATAAATAAATACAAATAGTAATGATATATTACCACTGTTGATGCAGCACGAATTTACAAAAACAATAAACGAAAATAAATCAAACCGTTGAACGAAATTACGTTAGCGTGTCGCGTGTATGTACAATTACCCCGAACGAGAGGGATAAGTGAAGAAACGCAGACCGAGACAGAACATACACGGCGCAAGGACGTCAACGGGACTACGTGAACTACGTACCAATGTACTGTAGTACTACCAAGCAGCAACAAAACAAATTCGAAGGTATGGTTTTGTGATACGATTCAACCCGTTTTGTTTTACTTAAACGTAGCTCGTAATAGCGAAATTTTGTGGTATTTGTGTGCATGCACACAAAAATTCCACCGAAAATACACCAACGCGTATCGATACTTCTAAAAATTTTGCAGAACTGAGTAGAAACACGCAAATATATGTGCACATGTGTGTGTATATGGTGTCCTACTGAAAAGAAAGAAACCCATTCTGTACCATATGTCAAAATACGTAAATATGAGCTTTGCCATATTTTCTATTTTAGCTAAATATCTATCTCTATTACACCCCATCTCCTTAAACAAGTTACCATTGCTAGCTGTGTGCGAATACATATATCAAGGCGAGATCAAATAAACTGGTGGGAATTGTAAAAAAACAATAACCAAAAGGTTTGGTGTTAGTTTTTGGTTGCCGACTGTAAGCTTTAAGTTATTATAAAAATACTCTTACTTACTCACTTCCTCTCTTCAGCGATATATAAAATTTTGCCATTTGCAATTCAAACCAGCTGTTCTAATAACACTATCACGATACATATACCAGTGGCGATATATATTCCGAAATGCGAAGTTGCGTAAACCAAGGCACTACTGATTAAAGTGTGTATAAATTTTCAACTATTTGCAAAAATCTGCAGATAAAGAACAAAACAAAGCGAATGAATACAAGATTGTGTACAAAAACTCATCGTTTTGATATTGAGAACATTCTGCGAAAATCTCAGATGCTCTGATGACACCACCTTGTATGAATTTGCCTGGGAACTAACATAATCCCTAAAAGTGCTACATATATACTACACGCATATCTTTTAGCGTTTTCTTTTCTCAAAAAAGTTTCGCCCTTTTATATGGGAACTCTTGCTTTGTGTTGCGCTGAACCCCGAGAAAATGTCTGTCATACCATTTATTTCGGATTTTGACCCGCTTTTGTACACGAGAAGTAGGTTTATTCATACTCGAAATCAAACAATTATTAATATGTTCGAGCATACCATCAGGACTGAGACTACTCAGGTCAGCGAAGGTGCATTGTCGCAAAATATTTATGAGGTTGTCTGGGCTGTACCCATCCCACGAAGTTATATCAGACAGTTTACTGATAGGGCCTTGTTTTTTTATATCGCATTTGAACATTATAGTTTCATGATCCGATATTCTATGTTCCTCCGCTTTTTCACATGACACTTCCTTTGCGTTCGAGTACAATAATCGATCAGTGTTTCGGAATATTCAGGAACCCTAGTATTAAAGTTGATTAACTGTTCCATTGCCTGATGGGCGAATATCTCATTCAGTTTCTTACTATATGTCGACATTATATTCAGGTTTATATTAAAATCTCCGATAATAATGGTATTTACCATGTTATCGCATATTTCCGACAAAATGGTCTCCATATATTCTAGAAAATCTGCATCACTTGAACTAGGTGAGTGATAGACCACCCCGATTTTCCATTTGGTTTCGAGATTTTTCAGTTGGATAACTACACACCAAACATTTTTATCGATAGATTTGTTTAGTATTATTTTAAAATCTAGTGCGTTACGCAATATTATGATTAACCCTCCTGTATGTCTACTGTGCGAGTCACATCTTACAACTTGACATGTTGGAAACTGTATTTCATAGCCATATATTTCCTCTGTTGTACAAGTTTCGGAACATAGAACTATATCCGGATCAACTATTTCAATTAGCCTTTCAAGTTCTATTTTATTAGCTACTATACTACTTATGTTAAGATAAACGCATTTCAAGTAACTGTTATGCTTTTCATGTACTGGCTGAACAGTCGACTCCATGCCACGGTTCCTATTAACTGACTGTAATTGTTAATAGCTGGCTCTATTTCTCTTATACTCTAGTTTCTTCATGTATACAGGACACTGTCGGTTAGTTGTCGAGTGGTTCACGTCGAGCCCTAGATTAAATTTTTTGTTTGCACAAATGCAATTGATACACTTGTTTATTTGCTCCTTTGTGCACTCCATTGTTTTATGATTACCCAAGCACTTCAGCCAGAGCTCTTCATCCTTGCACTTCGTAGCTATATGATTGAAGCCCTTACATTTGTAGCAGACTGACACACCCATACCATCTTGGACCCTACATTTCTCCCACCCAATATTTATTTTTTCGCTTTTGAGCACTGCCGAGAAGGTATCAACGTCCGTTTCAATGAGCACATTATAGTATTTAGATCTATCTTTCTTGACTTCAATGTGTTTAATAATTTTAAAGTCAGCACTTTTTAAACAGTCATTTTGTTTTTTTATCATTTCTACAAGTTGCTCGTTTTCATATTTAAAGCTTACTCCAAACGCCATAAGCTTGGGTTTAGCCGTATTCGGCACTCTAATTTCATAGCGGTCACTCATTTTTTTTGCAATTGCGGTCTTTATTTTATCGCGCTCAGATTCGTTTTCGCTTTGAATAATGATTGTACCACTTTTCCTACCCTGCACATTTTTAGATCCGATGGATCAACGTTCTTATTCAGGTCATCTTTTGTTTTCATCGCGTCTTGCTTCTCTTTCGGTTTTATGATCAGGGGTTTCTCTTTATTTTTTTTTTGGTTCTTTGTTGTTCACTAATCCGCTTTTTAAACGCTCAGCATATGAGGCCTTGCTGTGATGACTTGATTTCAGCTCTTCACTTACTGACTTTTTTATTTCTTCACATATTTTTCTACTTTCACTCTCATTTCGTACCATAGCCTCGCATAGATCATGGCTATGCTTTTTCACATCTTCAGCTACAGCTTTCATCTTATTGGCCTCAGCTATGCCAGTTTCGCATGTTTTTTGAACTCGTTGCATTGCATCTATACGCTCACCGAATTTCCTCTCTATAGCTTCTAAAAGGAGCTTTAGCTATTTAACCTGCATTTTTTGCGACTCTTGAAAGTCGTCTTTACACTCTTTTATGTTTTTACTATTATTCTCTATAGAGATATTCATATTTCGCCACACCTCATCAATATTATGCATATATGTGAGACAACCATCGCAAATAAAGCGCACATAGGCATTTTCCGCAAGGACTTTTTTGCTGAACTCATCGAGATCAGAGCATTTCTTTGCCCAGTGAAACACTTTGCCGCATATGCCTTCACAGCGGATTCCACTCTCACCGCGTATTAGGCCTTTGCACTTATGGCAGTCACCCGTTTTCTTGGCTGACACTTGACTGCACTTTTGAGTGATTTTTTTTATTTGCCCACGTCCCAAGCCTTGTTCAATAGTCATTATCGTGTCATCAACTGTTGTCATAGGTATGCACAGTCAATTATGACAAGCGAAAATCTCGTTTTATTTGCCAATTGCGGCGAAAGTTTCTCTATAGTGAAACAGTTGTTCTTTGTTTACATTTTAATTGTTCTTTTTGACAGCCACTGCAACAGACGGGATTTCTTTTAAATAAAATACACCGCAGCAATGGATTACGAATTGCCGGAAAAGTCAGTAATTTTATAATGGGAAAATTGATTTCATTTTATGTATGTATTCATGTATTAGCATACGTGGAAAATATGAATGCACCACACAAGATCAGCTGCAGTTTTGTAAAGACCACCCGAACTGCAAACGTTTAAAAACTGTCAAAAAAAAACTGTTGTCTCAGAGCTCCCTCGGAAGTCTTCTTCTCTGTATAACTTCTTCTTGCTCCACAATAATAGCCGCGTACATAATTATTTCCTCCATGAATAATATTCTGAAATGGATACTATTATGATATGAATATGTAAATAATAACTTTTTAACGCACTTATTTAGGCAAATAAAATGGTTTGACAGTTTTCATTTAATAAAAAATAAGATTGAAGGTATATTGAAATAATAGGAATTGTCACCGTTGGAGCATTCAAATTGCCCTCTGCATACCTAAATGTGACAATTGATTATAAACATGACAATAGTTATAGCGGCGAGTTTTGTCATTGCACGCGAATAGGGATGTTTAACTGCAATTAAATTGCCAATATTGGCCAAGGCAAATGCAACAGCAATTTCAAGGTGCAAGCAATAGTGTTGCCACTTGTTTGGCATATTTAAATAAAGTTGATGTGAAACCCAATTTAAGTTAAATGGCATTTAAATAACAATACAAAATTAAACTTAAGTGCCGTTTAAACATTCATTTGAAATTGGCTTAGCTATTTGTTTTTTGGTGGGATTTGGTATGATTGATTAAATAACCTACCAATAAATCTTGGTTGTTTGGTACAAACACAGGTTTGCATATCTTATATTTAAATAGCCAATATTGGCCATTTAAGTGCAGAATAAATGTATGATCTGAAAATGAATAGTGGAAGTTAATCAACAATCTATACTTGAGTAGGCCATCTGACAGTGGGCCTAAGTCTTTAATTAATTTCATAGGGAAACAGTTATTTTTGATATGCAAGAACGTAAATCTATAAGAAGAGTCAACACGTTATAATTGTAGCGAGTGTTAACATCAGGAGCGCGCCTTCTCTTTTGCCCAAATACGTTTTTTGATTGGATGAAAAGAGAAGGCACGCTCCTGATGTTCACACAATACCTCAAACGATTACTTTTCTGTGTCCAACCTACTTTTATCGATTATTTTTACAAGAGGAGAAACTTCAAGGTGGTGTTGCTAGAACAGCTGTTTAATTCGCCTAGGAACATATGTGTCAAAACCCCTTATGAGTAGGAATGTTCGATATCGTATCGATTTTTCTGAATATCGATATTTCATCGCACGATAATCGATTTTTTGAATCGATATTCCAAGGTCGATATATCGAAGGCATCGATACTTTACCCGCAATATCGATATTTAAGTTGAAATTTATTTTTCATTACAAAGAAGTGTATATAAAAATACTAAAGTAGGTTTAATCAACAGCATTGTGTGATTTATTTAGCTCTTAAGTTTGACAACCCGCTTGAGTCGACCGGCATGCCGTTTTAATCCTCAGTAAATATACAAGATGGAAATAACGCAATTAATTGAGTTGATAAGCAGGTCTAATATTCTATTCAATTGGGAGTCGGATTTTTAACATCGATTTTTCCGATTCATGAAATCGATACTTTCTTAAATATCGAACATTTCTACTTATGAGTGAGTGCGAAAGTAAGAGTATTGAAATTTCCTTTAGCTCTTCCTCCTTGAGCGAAGAATAGCTGAAATTTGATAT